CTAGACAGAGAGGCCACAAGTTGCCAGAACATTATAGAAGATGGCAGTGCGTGTCAGGATGGCAAAATTCAGCGGCAGCTACCAATAGAATCCCCAATGGACCTGTAAGGATTGGCTCAACAGTAACACCAAGGGACACCCTGAAACAAGGCAGGAAAGTTAAAACCTCAGTAAAAGATCAGATATCTTTTCCCAGAGGCTGAGTGTAAGACTTCGAAAAACTTGGTTCACTGCCCAAGAAAAGAAGTAAAAAGTGGAGGAGGGGAAGAATTTAGAATTCATTGAGGCTTAAATCCTGAAGTGACTTAAATAATATTAGCTCAAAAAGACTGTTTTACACTAGAAAATGAATAAACAAGTTTAAGCTTTTTATTGTCTTATCAATCAAGAATGGAGAATTGAAAGCCAGATGAGATTGGCTATAGAAAATACAATTACATTTTTATATGATTTATAGCATTTACATTCAACCTTTATTTTATTTATTTATTTATTTATTATTTTCTGGAAACAGGTCTTACTCTTTTGCTTGGGCTGGAGTGCAGTGACACAATTTTAGCTTACTGCAGCCTCAAACTCCTAGGCTCAAGCAGTCCTCCCGCCTCAGCCTCCCAAGTAGCTGGGATTATAGGTGCCAGCCACTATACCTGGTCCCAACCTTTATTTTATAAATGTACCAATATATGTATAAGTTTGTATATGTCATTGTTATATATGTGTTTGTAATACATACATGTGTAATACACCTTATAGTGATGAAAATTACTAATATCATAAGTAGGCAAATAGCTAATGTACTCATATTAAATGTATAAATCCTAAAGAAAAAATTATGTATTGATTAAATAGAAATAAGAAAATTTTAAAAACTGAAGATGACCTATTGAGACCATAATTCTATTATTAGTAATTAGAATCTATGTTCTTGTTAGCAAGTTTTAGCAAGTTGCTACAAGAGGGAAAGGACATCAGGCAAAAGTAATCCATTTGTAAGCATCAATGGAAGGAAATAAAGTTAACAGACACATATTAGATTGGGAGAATATATTTGTAATATCTCAAATCATAAGAGACTAATTTCTACAATAGATAAGGTATTTATACAAATCAATAAGAATTGACAGAACAGGAAATCTATCAGAATAAACCAAGAAAACGAACAGAAAACAAAAACCTAATAGAAAAATGGACAGTGCAGAGACTGCTAGCTATCTCCAGGTGTCTGTTCTACCATTCTTCTATAGTACCATAAAGGTTTTAGCTGGGCTCATAGTTGTCAGCTAAAGGCTTCATTTCCCTGACTCCCACACAGCTCAGTGTGACTATGACTAAGTTCGCTCCAATAGGATATGAGCAGGAGTGTTTTGGACCACTGACTTGTTCATAACCTTAAAAGAACAAGCATGCCTTCTTCTGCCTGTATTCTCCTTCTTCTGTTGGCAGAGGGGAAGGCATGATGGGAGGGTGAGGGGAGGGTAGACCCAGAGATAGAGACTGTGTGTTGATGAAGGTAGATCAACAAAGTAAGAGGGACCCTCATCATGTGAAGCTGCCGTAGCACCCCTAAACTGCTCTTACTATTAGGTAAGAGGGAAATAAACTTCATCCTGTATAAGCCACTATTATGTTATTTGGGTCTATTTTACAGCCTTTGCAACATATACCAGAACTAGTCCAAAATTTAATACCCAGAAGTAGGAATACCTAAAACCTGAAATATATTTGAATTACTGAGAGGTCAGGTGGTAGACAAAAAGCTCGCAGGCATGGCATGCTGGATAGCCATTGATTCTTGTTAGATCTTGGGGCGTATTTGGACAACAGTCACCTGGAATACCTTTGAAGGCAGACCACCAGCTTATTGAGCCTGGAAAAAGAATGCTGGTATGTATCAGCTACTCCTTGTCAGTGCTGGTCAGTGTGCAAGCGGACGTGGAAGGCTCTCTGAGTGCAGCATGCAATTTAAATTAAGTGAGAGTCCAGTGATATTCAATCTTCAAGTTTTGAAAAAGCCAATTACTTTTATATCTAAATAGCAGGAGGTAAGACTGTATCCTTAAGGCTTTCTCAAGAGCTTTTCTTTGTGTTCTTGCCAGATAATGGGATCCAGCCCAGTGGTAAGCTTCACATGCAGGGTGTTACCTTCAAGCTTTTTGTTTTGTATGGTGTTTAGATAACTGTCATGAATTGGAGAGAAAAGAGGCTGAATACAGATGCCATAATTGAAGAGAACAGTTTTCAGGCTTACAGTCTATGATCAAATAAAATCTCTGGCTATAGCGAATTTCAGTGGAACAAAAAAGAAATAAGTGGTTTAGAAAGCTATTAAGTTTTTGCAAAAGAAGCCACAATACCGGCCTGCAAGAGCATGTGACTGTTTTTACCTCTCAAGCAATCCTTGAGTTCCCCCAAACCTGCATCAGCAGATTAAAACAATGAGATATTATTTTCAGCCATCAATTTGGCAAAAACTAGAAAATTGAATATTAACACTAATGGTTGTAGGGAAGTACAAATATAGGAACCTCTTAAACACTGATGCTGGGCACGTACACTGATGTGAACATTCTCGAAAAGTAATTTTATAATATCCAGTCAAATGAACTAGAAATAAACATATAACTTATAAGGTATAAATCACCCTCCTATGTATTTATCCCAGATAAATTGTCACACAGTTTTGTTTTTTTTTCTTTTTTCTTTTCTTTTCTTTTTTTTGAGACAAGGTCTGGCTCTGTCACCCAGCCCGAAGTGCAGTGATGGGAACACAGCTCACTGCAGCCTCAAACTCCTAGACTCAAGCGATCCTCCCACCTCAGCCTCCTAAGTAGTTGGGACTGTAGGTGTCAGCAATTGCACCCGATTAATTTAAAACATTTTTTGGTACAGCCAGGGTCTCTCTGTGTTGCCCAGGCTGGTCACAAACTCCTGGGCTCAAGTGATCCTCCTGCCTCAGTCTTCCAAAGTGCTGGGATTATAGGCATGAGCCACTGCATCCGGCCTCACAAAGTTTCTTAAAAGGACACGTGTAAGGATATTTACTTTGTCATTGTTTGTGGTAGCAAGATGCTGGAAGCAATCTAGGTATTCATCACTGAGGAAAGAATAAATAAAATACGGTGCTCTGCAGCAGCTAGAAGCAATGGATCAGATGTATGCATAGCAATATAGATAGGTATTAAAAACAGTGCTAATTGTGTGGAAACAAGCAAAGTGTCCATCAATGAATGAATGGATAAAGAAACTGTAGAATTAATATATTTAGAAACAGAATATCATTGAGCCCTAAAAAAGAACAAGATCTTGCTATTTGCCACAATGTAGATGAGCCTGGAGGATGTTATGTTAGGTGAAGTAAACCAGACACAGAAAGAAAATTATTGCATGATCTCACTTATATATGGAATCTAAAAAACGCTTTCAAATATACAGAGATAGAGAGCAAAACAGTCATTACCAGGGCAGATGGGGCTTAGAGGAGAGAAAATGAGGAGATGTAAGTCAGAGGATACGAAGTAGCAGATACATAGAACAAACAAGTTTAGAGATCTAATGTACCACACAAGGACCATAGGTAATAAAATTGTATTGTGTTTGGGATTCATGCTACGTGTGTAGATTTTATCTGCTCTTGTCACAAAAATTTTAAAAATGGGTAACTGTGAGTGATGGATATGTTAATTTGCTTCACTATAGTAACCTTCTTACTATCTATATATTTCCTATAATGTGATGTTGTATACCTGAAATATGCACGATAAAATTTATTTTTTAAAAAACAGTGCTGATTGAAAATCAGAAACAGATTAAGGTCTATATTTTAATACTACTGTACTACCAAATGATGTACACATAAGGTGGCACAGGGTTGTGTGGTTTGTGTTAAATAATGAGAAAAGGATTGGAAACAACTGATATTTATCATAGGGAATCAGTTAAATAAAAGATGGTGAATACACACAGTGCAATAACATGGAGCTGTAAAAAATACAAAGCTCTCTGTATAATAATTGAAATACCTTCAAAATATATTAAGTAAAAAAGAAAAGTGTAAAACAATATATATGGTTAGTTTTGTGCCAAAGACAGGGATAAGAATGTATATTCACATTTGATTTATTTGAATGAAGAAACACTGGAAAGGCAAACAAGAAAGCAATAAATATAATTACTTTTATTGGGAGGCTGGCGGCAGGAACAGGATAAGTGGGAGACAGGGATGTGAGGGAGACTTTTCACTGTTAACCTCTAAAAAATATTTTAAACCATAAGAATGTAATATTTATTTAAATAAGAATATATGAAATAAAACACTACATTACAGAGGCATACACAAATACATGTATTACAAAAACACACAAATAAAAAGATACAGAAATAAACATATTGATTGGTTGTCCAAAGTATAGGTGGGGAATGGGAGTGGGGAATTCATATTTAAAAGGAACAAATCAATAAATAAAGATAGGAGAGGCGCCCTGACCAAACCAGTGATAAGGACGGGCCACAAACTGGGATCTAAAAAGAAAAGCAAACAGTATGTCTTAAAGATGAGGCATTCCAACTTCTTCAGTATTTGGGGGGAGGAAAAAATATTTTTTGACTTTTTGCTGATCTTTTACTTTCTCAGACTATTAAGGAAAGTTTGAAAAACAGAAGCAGGTAAATTGTTGAGTATATTTCTAACTCAACTGTTCAACATTAAAAAGAGAACATAAAATGATGCAGGGGCTTACACCTGTAATCCCAGCACTTAGAGAGGCCGAGGTGGGAGGATCACTTAAGCCTAGGAATTTGAAAACAGCCTGGGCAACACAGGGAGACCCTCTCTCTACAAAACATTTTTAAAAAGAAGAAGAACATAAGATTATATTTTCTCCATTGAACAAAGAAATGAAAAGAATGAAATAAGAGGGTGAAGCACTAATAAATTATGAAAGAAATCATGAAATTATGATTGAGCTAGATAATAAAGTTGAATCAAGGTAACAAAAACCAACCTGTCCTTTATCCATGTCACTATTTGCATTTTCTGAGTCCATTGTCTCTGTCCTTTTCCTCTTTCCTTTTCTAACAGCTTGTGTATCGGTAATTTCATCTGTCTGCAAGATCTTCTGCATTTTCTCAATTAGTTATCAAAGGTTTTCTGAAATCCTAGGAGTAGGGAATACCCATGAAGATGATGCTATTCTGGACGTAGCTCAAAAGTTAATGCTTTCCCTTAAAAACAAAAACAAAAACATGACACATAACATATTCACAACTGTATGTTTCATAATGGTACTAGCCACTCAGATAAACCACTTTTATTAATGTTTCCTATTCTTTCTTCCACTGATGAATTTCATACACATTTTCATTTGAAGCAAAAGTCTTCCAATTTCATCATCATCACAAAGATTTTCGTATTTTCATGATGTGATATGCAGTGAGGTGTCATTTACAAAATCCAACATTGTAACACTGTTTCATATTTATAAGTTTTTTTCTTGTCAGAGTTATATTATGAGGAGTCTAAAAAACTAGAAACATTACAAAGTTATAATACCAGTATCTCAGAGGACCGACCTTATATCTCTTTAGGAAAAAGACGTTAATAATAGATATCACAAGAACCAAAGACTAAAATATTCCAGGGAAATCAGTAAGAATTTCTTAAAAGGTTTTTTTTTTCCCTAAAAGTTCTTAAGTCTTGAAACGCAAGATTTTCCTTGGTGCAAACTGAAGAATTGTGCCATAAAAAATGGGGGAAAAAATCTCAAGGGCAATAGTACTTTCATAAAGATTTTAAGGAATAATCATTTATCAAAATCTGACAAAGTAGGCTGGGTGTGGCAGCTCACACCTGTAATCCCAGCACTTTGGTAGGCCAAGGTGGGAGGATTGCTTGATCCCAGGAGTTCAAGACCAGCCTGGGAAACATGACAAAACCCTATCACTACAAAAAACACAAAAAAGTTGCTGGGTGTGGTGAATGATGTTAAATGATGAAATTTAACTTTTGCTATTTACAAATGATGCAGCATGTTAGGTCTTAGCATCCTTACTACTTGCGTATATTGGTTTGTTTTCATGAAAAAGTATTTAATTATAAATAATAAAACTTTATAGAAAGGACTGAGCTTAGATATCTTCAAGAAACATGTTTACTGTTGAACAGAAAGTAACATATGCTCCTTACCAAATTACACTAAGTCACTATTTTAGAAAACATAATTCTTTGCCTATTTTAAGTGAAAGTCATTATGATCTACTCTAAGCATAAAATATTTGGATGGTCTTGCCAAAAATGCTTGTTGCAACTCTTCTTTGGAAAGTTACTTTAGCCTGGCTGGGCGCGGTGGCTCACGCCTGTAATCCCAGCACTTTGGGAGGCTGAGGCGGGCGGATCACGAAGTGAGGAGATCGAGACCTTCCTGGCTAACATGGTGAAACCCCATCTCTACTAAAAATACAAAAAATTAGCCGGGCACAGTGGCTGGCGCCTGTAGTCCCAGCTACCTGGGAGGCTGAGGAAGGAGAATGGCGTGAACCCAGGAGGCAGAGCTTGCAGTGAGCCGAGATCGCGCCACTGCACTCCAGCCTGGGCGACAGAGCGAGACTCCGTCTCAAAAACGAAACAAAACAAAAAACAAAAACAAACAAACAAAAAACAAGAAAAAAGTTACTTTAGCCTTTCAAACACTTGAATAGTGCTTGAGATAACACAGGACTGTACTGTCAAATCTGACTCACAAATACCAGACAGCTTACAGCTTGCCTACTATCAATCTTTACTAACAATTTCAAAGATAGAAGCAATCAAGCCACGTGCAGTGGCTCACACCTGTAACCCTAGCACTTTGGGAGTCCCAGGCGGGCAGATTGCCTGAGCTCAGAAATTCAAGACCAACCTAGGCAACATGGTGAAACCCCATCTCTACTAAAATACAAAAAATTAGCAGGACTTGGTGGCTCACGCTTTTAGTTCCAGCTACTCTGGAGGCTGAGGCATGAGAATTGCTTGAACCTGGGAGTCGGAGATTTTAGTGAGCTGAGATCATGCCACTGCACGCCAGCCCAGGAGACAGAGGGAGTCTGTCTCCAAAAAAGAAAAAAACAAAAGAACCCACAAAAGCAAGATAAAAAGCAATCAAGAGGCATAGGCAAAGTAGGAAGAGATCCAGGGAAGCCCTGCTGGCTTCCTAGGGCTCCTTCCTTCTCACATCATGCACTCTGTGGTCCAGAACAATAGGTGAGGCCTCTAAATTAATTTAAAGGGTTACCTCACACAGTGGAGAATGTTTAAGTTGTGATATATCTCCATTTTATATTTCAGAGCTGTGTAGCTTGCGTGATATTCTCTGGGGTTATAAATCCAGATTCTAGGTATGTTTGCAATAAGCAATCCATAACCAAGGATATACTGTTAACAGCATTCCATAGATACAAACTGTCCTCCTAGTAAATACATAAGTCTATTTGTGAGAACAGGGTTGACAAATTTTTTCTGCAAAGGGATAGACAGTAAATATTTTAGGCACTGCAAGCCAATAGGCCAAATGTAGGATATTATACAGGTATTTACATAGCAAGAGAGAAGACAAATTTTCACAAAATTGAAAATCTAATAACTGACTACAACTTTTTGTAAGCCAAGTTTTCTAGTGAAAAGAATGGAATTAACAAAAACCATCTTGTTTAATTGGGGTTCAGAGTTAGTGTTCCCTATCATCAAAATCAGTTGCAAATGCCCATCTGACCTGTAATGAGATTTTACATATCTCCTCTTTGAAAATGTCTTTCACATTGATAGGTACTGGCATATATTGATATTAATCCATGAATTTATAATTTTCTTAATTGAGATAAAATTTACACAACATATAAATTCACTGTTTAATCATTTGAAAGTGTGTACATCCATTTAAAGTGTACAATGATTTTTAGTATGTTTATCATATTGCGTAACCATCACCAAAAAACTCCATACATCCCAAAATGAGCTTACAATTTTAGTGGAGCATATTAATTTCTTAGAAGACTTTCATAGAATTTTATTAGATTCTTCTCTTGATATTTGCCTTTTAGCATGTCGTACTTGAAAACTAATTATTCCCAATTAAAGGTTAGGTGGAAGCACCTCAAATTGCACAATAAAATGGATTTTGAAATATAGAAATTTATCTTGCGGCCAGGCGCGGTGGCTCAAGCCTGTAATCCCAGCACTTTGGGAGGCCGAGATGGGTGGATCACGAGGTCAGGAGATCGAGACCATCCTGGCTAACACAGTGAAACCCCGTCTCTACTAAAAAATACAAAAAACTAGCCGGGCGAGGTGGCGGGCGCCTGTAGTCCCAGCTACTCGGGAGGCTGAGGCAGGAGAATGGCGCAAACCCAGGAGGTAGAGCTTGCAGTGAGCTGAGATCTGGCCACTGCACTCCAGCCTGGGCCACAGCGCAAGACTCTGTCTCAAAAAAAAAAAAAAAAGGAAAAAAGAAATTTATCTTGCATTTACATTGAGATCTGAAAGTCAGTGCTGGGACTGTAATTTGAACTTGAAAATATATCTATTGCAAATATGAGTGGGGATAAAGGTATCACATTTTAACTTTTGACAACAGGGGAAGTATATAAAGCAGTTTGACTTATGCATCATAAATTAGTTGTTGTTAAAATGACTTTACTTCAGTTTAAGTTTTGCTATAAGTACTTGTCTTGTATATAATTTTGTCTTATAATTTCTGAATCAATTCAGTTAAGAAACATTATTAAGTTCACAGCAAAAGCTTATTTCAAAAGCCATTCAGTGCTCCATAGATGTATGGAATAACAGTTTCATTCACAAAAAATTCAGTCTTGGCCCCAGTGCAAATATTTGCAGTAAAACTTTGCCACTGCTAAGCTGTCAAAATGCTGGGTAATAATACGGCAAGTCAGAATACTCAACTTCTATTTGAAGTTCCATGAAAAAATTCATGGAACTGATGATAGCCAAGTCCACAAGAATGAATGTTCACTGTTGACAATGGTTCAATAATATATGATATTTTCAGAAATTGCCGAGGTGATCTTAAAATTTGTATGGAAATTTGTATGGAAGAGATTTAGAATGGCCAAAACAATCTTGAAGAAGAAGGGTAGTCAAATTTATCGAGGCAGAAAGTAGATAAATGATTTCTTAGGGGTGAGGAGTAGGTTGGGGAGAGGAAATTGGTAGAAGGTTTCTTTTAGAGGGAAAAATGTTTTAAAAATGGAATTGTGGCAATGGTTGCAAAATACTGTGGGTATACAAAAATAACCTCCACATTTAATTGTATATTTTATTTTATTTCAGACAGGGTCTTGCTCTCTCACCCAGGCTGAAGTGCAGCGGCATGATCCTAAGTCACTGCAGTCTTGAACTCCTGGGCTCAAGGGATCTTCTTGCCTCAGCCTCCAGAGTAGCTGGGACTACAGCCATGCACCATGACACCTGGCTCATTTTTAGTTTTTTTTTTTTTTTTTTTTTTGTAGAGACAGGGTCTCAATATGTTGCCCAGGCTGGTCTTGAACTCCTGGCCTCAAGTGATCTTCTGCTTTGTCCTTCCAAAGCATTAGGATTACAGGTATGAGCCACCATACTTGGCTGAATTGTACACCTTTGTTTTTGCTTTTGAGATAGGGTCTTGATCTGTCACTCAGGCTGGACTGTAGTGGTGCAATCTTGTCTCACTTCAGCCTTGACCTCCTGGGCTCAAGCGATCCTCCCATTTTGGTTTCCCTAATAGCTGGGACTACAGGTGTGTGCCACTATGCCCAGCTAATTTTTTTATTTTTTGTAGAGATGGGGTCTCACTATATTGTCTAGGCTGATTTCAAACTCCTGGCTTCAAGTGACCTTCCTGCCTTGGCCTTCCAAATGCTTGGATTACAGGCATGATCCATTGTGTCTGGCTGAATCATACACTTTAAATGGGTCAATTGCTTGGTTTGTGAATGTTATTTCAATAAAGCTATTTTTAAAAAATACACATAATGGTTCAAATATTTTCTGCAAAGCACCTGCTAATGACTAATAAAATGAACCATAGGCTTTAAACACTTTACGTTTTCATAAGTTCTGTAAATTTGTCTAATTATTTTTCTGATCTACATATATTTGTAACACATCTTAGTAGATTCCACCTCAGGTTGTACTCAATTAGCGTTTTCTCAGTTTCTTTGAAACTATTTTTGCCCACAGTTTTTTTTCACAAAGG